TTGTGAGTTACCCTTCGATTCCCATCCCTAGTGAGTATCCTTGTAAACATAGTCGTAAACAAGAACTCTGTCTCGTATTATGTCCAAACGGTCAGAGTAGGCTACTTGCATTCGTTTTCCCTTATTTAACCCGTAATTGCAAAACGAAAAATTAATGGTTGTTGTATTTTTAAAACGCAAAGTTGAATACCAATATTTTAGTTTGACCTGTAGGCCTACACCAAATGCTGCGCAAAAAAAAAAAAAAATCTATATATCGACAAATTTTTAGATATTCGTTAATGACTTTTTGCTCCTTTATTAAACATTTAAAATATTCACAAATTAATATGTTTGAAATTTTTTTTAGATTTTTTTGTCGGCTAAAATCTCCAGATGCACCTTTAGAGAGAATTGCACATTTCAAGCGGATTACAAAATCAGAAAGTACTAGCTTTCGATTTGAATTTGTTCATTTTAAAGTGCATTTCAAGCTTTAACCTACATTTGGTTTCAGTTCTCGCGCTTCAGTTCACGGATATAATGAAAGTGCACCTGATTTTATTTTATTTTACAAAAACACAACGTTTTCTTGTTATTGTGAGATTACGCAAATAAAAGTAGTTGCGGATAATGTATTATTATTTTCTGTATGACCAGAAATGATAGAGTATTTTAAGTTGTTTCCACTGTTGATAGGAAAATGCAAGTGTTCACGCCCCACACTCCACACACACACACACTTGGATATGCATCAAAATATTGTGTTAATCAAAATATTAATTATTAAAAATATTATTATTATTGTCAAAATATTTGGGATAATCTTAAGGGGGTCGCACACTGGACGAGAAGCTCAGCGCCGCTTCGCGCAGCACCACATCTTGAAAAATTCCAACGCAATATTCTCTATGAGTGTACACACACCAGCGGTACCATTCGACATCTGTCCTCGGCGTCCAGCAACGGCTCAGGACTGTGTTCAAAATTCTGCTGCGCCACAGAGCGCCATTTACATAATTTTATATAAAATTTTAATTATTTTATGTCTTAAATCGTTGCTAATGTATCCTGACTTCGCCGTAATATACATTTAGTTTTGCATTTATTTACAGATCAGCTGCTTGAATGACAATTGCTGATGTTATTGGATTTTCATTCAGTTAAGGGGTGCTCTGAGGTAAAGTTTTCAGACTGCAGACTCAACAACGATTGTATTTAATTGTACAGTACAATCATAACATAGGACAGACATTATCTTCATTTCATAATGCCATTAAACATAGCAATATTGCTCGCCATACACTGATGAGAAAGTGCGTGTCTGGTGTGCGATACCTGGAGTTGTCCTAGACGTGGCGCAGCGCTGCGCTTCTCGTCCAGTGTGCGACTCCCTTTAGCCTGAATATTATTATTGTCCAACCTGTATTATGAATGAAATGTGACGAATTTCTTTGTTCCTTTTATGGATAAAAGCGTCTTCTACATATGTAGCCTAATAAATGTTATAATAATGATGATAATTATTGTTATTATTATTATTATTTGGCCAGAGGCTAAAGTAGTGCTGGGCGATATACCAGTTCATACCAAAAACCATTGTATATTTTTGTTATGATTTTAATTTTTAATATACCGCCATACCAATGTATTTCATTCGCGGCGCGACACTGTTTCCGACGGACCCTTTACAATGTTGTCCTTTTTAGCAGTGACTGCGAGGCCGAGAGTATACAGCAGTGCTCTGGTGTTACGTTACAGGGAAGATGGATGCTGCAGAACTATGGCGTTATTTTCCTGTCAAATGTGGAGCACACTATTGTAGCGCGAAAGTACATTCATATAATGCGCAGCACGAATCTCTCTGCTCGCGCGTTACATATTATATTGTACACGCTGCTCTTGTAAGAATAATTTTATCTTCTCTGGGCTCGTTTAGAGAATCCTGCACATAAAACGTGTGCAAAACAAAATAAAAATGTTAAAAATAAAAATGTTATTAGAATGTTAAGAAATAACAATTTTATTAAACACTTAGAACACCTCATTATGCATGAAAAAAAACGTCATAAACCGGAAATCCGGCTTAATTTTGAAGAAAAAAAAGTGATTTTTCCGTCAACTCGCCCAGGAGTACGCTAAATACTACAGTCAGTAGTAGGTAGTAGGGGCTGTCCCGTATGTTATCAACCTGCCCAAAGAGGGTGGGATCTCACTCACAGAATGAACACATAGTGTCAGACATCTTTTTTTGGTAGCTAAGCTAGCAGGCTCTTGTTCTGTGGAGAAAGCTGAGTAGTCGGGGTTACCATCCTCTTTTTCCCGGATGTGCCCGGCCATCGATGTCCAAGATTCAGCTTTTGCTTTCTGCAGTCGCAATTCATTGTTTACATGCATACCTTTTGTTTCAAAATCTAACCGAATTCATTCTGATTGGTGAATCAGAATGTAGTGTTTACATGAACGCTAAACAAGTGATCGGCTGATGTGCGTTTTAACATTTGTTAGAGAATTCCCGCTCCTCCGTGAGAGAAACGAGACCGGTGCATTTCACAGGTGTCGCTCATCAGAAAATGACGCCACCGGCCACACACCGTTCTCCCGCGGCCCTCACCACAGTAAACATAATGAATGGCGACTGTAGAAAAAACAAAAACCGAATCCCGGACATTTTGGGAGATCTCGAAATCCTGGGCGGACTCATCACGGAGACTCACTAGCAGCCTAGATTTGTTGTTTAACTTCTGCGCTCTGTTACCGGTAGGCATGGCCTCCTGGCAGCGAAGCAAGTGCATTCTGGGAGTTGTTGTCTGTCATCCACATAAGCCAAAAATAAATTTTCTGGCTGTTCTTACTCTAAAAAGCTCCAAAATCAAAAATAATTTCACATTTTTTCTACATAAATGACCCATTTTAAATACACATTCATCTTTCCAGAGGTGAAGCCTCCCTTTAATGGTTGTCTGTGAGACAGTTACTTCGCGTTTGGTTTGCAGTTTTGGTAGATGTGGGCTTGCACTTTTTGAAGTCTTCATATATCTGAGGTTGCTTTCAGATGACTGTGGAGATTTTCTTTGACGTGGCCACAATTTTTCCGCACGACTTAGTGACTTATGTTCACTTATGTTCACATATCGAGTTTTTTGCGTGTGCAAATTTGTTATTTCAAATGCAGGACCGCCGCGGCAAGCACACTCAAAATGGAAGGACATTTTTCCAGGCCCGCCTATGCTGTGCAAGGGGCTAATCCACCAGCCGGAAACTTAAGCCTCCCCAGGTCTAACCCTGTGTGAATGGCCCCTTACACAGTACCTGCATTTGTGACACTTCTTCTCTATTGAAGCCAAAATATTACGATTTTTTATTCTCTTTTGCATTTATTTGATCGAAAATACAGTAAAAACGGTAATATTATTACAATTTAAGATAGGCTATTTGTTTGCTGCTCAAAGGACATTTCTTATTATCAATGGTAAAAACATATTTTCATATTTTTGTGGAAACCGTGATTCATTTTATGCAGAATTATTTGATGAACAAAATTGAAAGAACAACATTTATATGAATTAAATATTTTTAAACAGTGTTAAACCCTTGAGTGTCACTTTTGACCAATTTAATGCATCGAACCTTGTTAAAATTTTTATTAAAAAAAATCTTACTGAAGTCAACATTTTGAACATTTATGTACAATTTTAATTTGTTTATTGTGAAATAACTCCAGATTATTTCTCTGGCATCTAAGCATTGTTCAGGGCTTCCTTTCTGAAAACACACATTACACCCAGATAGCAAACTGACATTGAATCAACGTGGAAATATGACATCGAAACAACGTTGATCTGACATTGTTTTGCTCATCGAATTAACGTTGAACCAACGTCAGACGCGTCATTCTTTCAAAACTAACGGAAAATCAACTTGAAATCAACGCGTTGTTTTAACGTTATGAAAGCAAACCAATTTTCGATTTTATTTAGCTTTGAAGAATGCCGCGTCTGACGTTGGTTCAACGTTAATTCGATGAGCAAATCAACGTTGTTTCAATGTCATGAGAGACGTCGTTTCCACGTTGATTCAATGTCAGTTAGCTATCTGGGCAATCTGTATTTTTATGTGAGGATCGATCCTTTTCGATACCATGTCTGTACTTCGATCAATCCGCCCACAAACAATTGATCAATTGAGCAGGGAACATCAATCGTCAAAGAAATAAACACACTGTAAAATACATTTGATAAATACATACTCGCATCTCCTCACATATAACATTTTACTTATTTATTTACTATTTTTTATCTATTTTTGTAACCACTACATCTACCTATCTCTTTCTCATTTATTAATCTCTTAATATACCCCGGACTCTTATATCTGGGTTGGGTTAGAAGAACCAATGTGAATAATGAGGACAAGCTATTCAAAAAATGAAATGTCCCTGAATAATTTGGAAAAGAATTGGGACATGAATCAATAATTTACAAATAAACACTTTCAATACACTCAGTCTAAAAAATCTCAGGCTGATATAAAGTTAAATAATTTTTGTTGTTTCTTGTCATTTATATATGTATTACAGTTTGAGATATTATTGCTTTTGCGTCATTGGTAGAAGAGGACGAATATTGGAAATCCCCATGCCCCCCTCCAATCTTTCTTAGTTGAGGGACTTAATGTTCTTTCTACGCCTAGAAAAAAATGTAGCCCTCGATTAGAGACTCATTTTATAAAATGTGGAACCCTGTCCTTTCCTTTGTTTGAACCTTCATTTGAGATTTGAGTCCCAATTGAATTAAATAAATAAATAAAACATATAAAATATATAGTGTTTTACTTTCCTTAGTTTTTGTGTTATATATATAGTGTTTGACTTTCCTTAGTTTTTATGTGTTATATAGGATGGCTAGGGTGTTGTCCTGGTTATTTATATTTTATTCCACATTTATATCTGTTTGGATCTTTTACAAAAGACTTTTATTTTGGTTTGGTGGTGTGACGTCATAAGCATGCGACACGCTCCTTCATTAGCTGCAGTTCGGATGAAGAAAGGTTTGTGTTTTACAGCGTTTTAAAGTGTTCGATTCAAACCATGCAGATTTTTTCATAACGATATGAGAGCTATGAAATTAGTTATAAGTTGTATCACTGAATGTTAGTTTGTTATGCTTAAAACGAACCGTTAGTATTTGACCAAAGCGCAGTAGTGACGGAGAACTGAGCTTTTGGGTAACTTAATCAAATAAACTCAATTAAATGCCTCGCGAAATGATTCAGTGATTTGAATTAAGCGCTCGAATCACCGCGTCGAACGAACACAAACGTGTAATGAAAACCAACAGCGAATGTTTAAGCAGGCTGTAATCTTCATTTTATAAATACCAGACAAACAAAGTCTAAGAATCACAAGAATTATGAATCATATCACAAGTAGTGATATGTGTGACCATGTCCATATAATTTGTGCTCTTTTATTCATTATTGGTAGGGTGACCAACGTTCCTGTTTTCATGTCATGTCCTGGCTGTTTTTTTTATAAAGTGATGGACCAGTTTGGAGGTATTTCTTTTAGTTATTTATTTTCCTGATACAGAATAGACATTATTATTTCAGTCATTATTTTTGAAACCTGTCATAATAAAACATGTTTAGTAACCTCTGAGAAGCCTATCTGAATTTGTGCCTTCTAATATTACAATTTTCTGTCCATGGATAGGAGGCATAGCCTACTTTAAATGTGTTGAAATTAATAAGACATCTTTTAGTAAACTTCAAGTATCATTTGAGTATCTGTTTGCCGGGCCAAGTGTCCTGGTTCTCGGTTATCAAAATGGGGTCACCCCATCATATGGTACTAGTTTTGAGTTCCGTAAATTACTTTTTGGCTTATGTTTAAGTCCATTAACTCTCAGGCTGACTCTTACCAGTTCACTGAATTAGAGTTGATTGAGACACACACACACACACACAGATTTATTTTGGATTTATTTTTCTTTCTGTTAATTATTCTCATTTTAAACATGACAGATTGTCCGAACACAGAAACAACTCCTGGTGACCTGACTGAGATCCATCAGTGACACTATTATAAAGATGGCATTTATTAAAGTGGAAAATGGGGACATGGAGACTGTAGAAACATTCAGAGTGAAAGAAGAAGAAACTGAGGAACAAACAGGTTGGTTTCATTCTCAAAGCAGAACTTTCATGGATCATTTGATCCATATCAGAGGTGATTCTAGAAGAGCAATTAATACAGAGGAGCCAATCTTATGTTGTTTATTTGTAAAACTATAGATATTTAAAACTCCGTAAGCTTTAAAACCAGCAATAAACATTTCTTATTTTCTTTTAATGACATTTATTCAATGCAGTAAATAAGAACAGTCAAATTCAATTTGTATTAACTTTTCAGAAGTAAAAACTATTCACCGATTGGATTATTTCATTTATTAAAGTACAACTCACAAAAAATATAAAAATCAATATTCGGTTGTATAAACACAATTCCTCACAACCTTATACATGCTTGGGCAAAAAATAAATATAACAGCCTTTATTAATACAAATGCAGAAGTATATTATTCATATAATAAATACACAGTTAATTAATATAACTTTAATCAAATACAATAATAATAACTTGTATTCACATCCTAGTAAATTTGCATTGATGAATAGACAAAATCTAAATATGCCAAGGCTAATTAGCCTTGTGCATATGATTGTATAATATCATATAGCCTCTTACAAAAACTTAGTATAGCTTAATTAGTCCAGTGTTGTATTATTTATTTATAGGCTATTTTTATACATTTTAGAAATACTTGATTTACGTTACTATTGTTTACAAATGTTTTTTATTTGAGAAAGTTTCTGGATGTCCTGACGTTTTGTCATTAACTTCTGTTCGTTCTGAGACTAATAATGTTCACTTTGCTTGACACAAAACTCAAGAAATTAGACAGATTGTGCCACACAACATTGCAAAACTACAAGATATGACACAATCTCTTTTATGTTTCAGACATCAAGAAAACTCAACATCAATTATCTTCATAATCTTTAGATATTATGAGAAATTATCCATAAGAGAGACCAGTAAATACCATGTCCGGGATACAAATTGTGCATACACCAAAATTATTTTAATGAATATATGGTCCATTTCGAAGTGTTTAAATCCAAACAAACTATATTTGTAGATTCTCCTCCACTCCTGTATTTTGTACTTGCACAGCGTCACGTAGACTCTGATCAGAGCCGCCACTGCTTCCGTGGCTTGCAGTTTGTATATTAGATAATGTCGGAATCCTTTTTGAAAGTTTAAATACAATTTTTATGAAGTCATTATCGAGTCATGCGGTATGACACTGGTTTAATTTAGAGGATTCGTTCTCAAGTCAAAGTCAAGTAATTTTCTTAATTTATTAGAAATCTTTAAATTTGCATGCAGTCACGTAACTCAAGACCTCCAATTCTAATATTTACAGCTTTTTAAGTGTGGAACGTGAGATAGGCATCTGGGGCCTCATTTATAAATGTTGCGTACGCACAAAAGAAGGCATACGTCGCTCTCTACGCAATAATTGGTATTTACTATTTATAAAAGCAAACTTGACGGTAAAATGTGCGGTCCTTTGCGTAAGCTCTGACCCAGGTGTACGCACAAAAACGGGTGAAATGAGGAATGCCGACACCGTCGTCAGATGGAAAAAACGTGAAAGTGTGTGAAACTGTAGATGGTTGAGTAAAATAAATGGCAATACTGTCTCTCATAAATAAATAACATGAAGACTTCACAAAGCAAGTCTTACAATTAGTCCTATACGAACACTCGTTTGATCGATCTGCAACGGAGATGCAAATTAACACATATTTCCAAAAAGAATTTAAGTGAAATATGTTCTGCAATAACATTGGCATGTTATACAATTCATCCTCATAAATAAGATGGTAAACAGAAAGAAATAATGTACAAAACTGGTGGAGCAGTTATAGATGCAATTAGATAGTCAGTCAGATAGATAGATAATTAGGGAGATATATAGATAGATCGATAAATAAATGTATTATTTGTCCAACGGGGAAAGTTGTTTTCATCGTAAAAATGTCTTCATCAGCTACGGAATCATGGTATTCATGCATATGCATTTAGTTTGTTCTATTTTTGATAAAATAATGTATGACGTTTGTCTCAATCATTCAGAAAGCTGCAAGAAATTACATTTGCGCTGAACTATTTCCCATTTCCAAGTAGATTATAACCGACATCTGTAGCTTGTCAGATGCAATTAAATGGATGGAAATAAAATGACGCACACTGGCTGATCTTGCGCTCTTAGAAGATGTGGCAAATGGAAGGATTCGGAGTGAACGCATCTTCACAACAAAAGGTGTGGAAAAAATATATTATTTAAGAATTCCCTCATTGTGCAGTTTATTTTAGTTAGGACAGTCTCGATTTCGCCCAACTCCTTGGCCACCTCTCTAATTGAATTAATGACTAGACGCTTTTTTGCCTCGACTTTGATGTCCGACCATTTCTTTTTTATTTCGGCCACAGTCCGAGGTTGTAAGGCTACAGCATTTACGGCGTCTACAACCTTTTGCCACTCAAGTGCCTTTTTGGCATTAGTAATGCACACTGTGCCCTTCAAACAACATTTCTCCTCTTTTCCACCTCGCCAGCGATAATTTCTTCTTCACATTGAGTGAAGTTACGTTTTTTTTTTTTTATTTCCTCTCTGTGTTTGCCATGATTTCTCAATTGATGAATATTAACTTGTGGGCGTTTCACAGACTATTTATGGGCAACTATGGGCGTGACATGATGCCGCAAAAGCTGCGCTACATTTAGAATTGATTGTGATTTATTAAGGGAAAACTGCGTAGGATGTGCGTGCGCACGGTTTTATTAATCCGAATATTTCTGTTCGTATGCATGTCCTATGTTTCATCTGTACGCCACTTCTGACACAAATCCTACACAAAGTTTTATAAATGAGGCCCCTGGTTTGCAATATCAGTTGCGTACATCTAGAAAGTCCAACACATTGAAAGTTTCTGGGATACTGAACAAAATTATAAATGCAACACTTGTTTTTGCCCCCATTTTTGTCATGAGCTGAGCTCCTTTTCTATGTACACAAGGCCTATTTCTCTCAATTAGTCATGTCAAGTCAAATATATTTATATAGCGCTTTTCACAATACAGATTGTATCAAAGCTGCTTCACAATATCAATCAAAACAACTTAACAGTATTTGTTTATTACTGGGAAAAAAAGGCATCTAAGTTTGTTAGAGCTGATCAATGGTATGATGGGTCATTTAATTTGAATATCCCCAACTGAGCAAGCCAAAGGCAACAGTGGCAAGGAACCGAAAAACTCCTTCAAGTGACCCGATGGTGTCTTAAAACTCCATCAGATCACCCAATGGAGAAAAAAAACCTTGGGAGAACCCAGGCTCAGTCGGGGGCCAGTTCTCCTCTGGTGTTTATGAACTAGAGACAAAATTTACAGTAACTGTAAGAGAAAAAAATTATATGAATGCCAGGCTAAATAAATGCGTCTTTAGTCGAGTTTTAAACTGGGAGAGCGAGTCTGAGCAACGAACAATATCAGGAAGGCTAATCCAGAGCTTCGAAGCTAAATGTGAAAATGCTCTCCCTCCTTTGGTGGATACCTTTGTCTTGTCTGGATTTAATAAAAGAAAATTACGCGTCATCCAATCTTTTGTATCTTTAACACAATCTGTCAATTTGGATAATTTAGCATTCATCTGGCCGTGAAATATATATTTGAGTGTCATCAGCATAACTAATTCCACGTTTCCTTATAATATTACCTAGTGGCAGCATATGTATTGTGAATAATAAAGGGCCTAACACAGATCCCTGCGGCACTCCATAGTTTGCCGATTTTTCTCCATTTATGTAGACGAAATGGTAGCGGTCAGATAAGTATGACCTGAACCAGCTTACCTGAACTCCTTGAACACCACTGTAATTGTGTAGTCGATCTAAGAATAATGTGTGATCTATAGTATCGAACGCAGCACTAAGATCAAGTAAACTAGTATTGAGATACAGCCTTGGTCCAAAGCTAGAAGTAAATCATTTGTGATTCTAACAAGCACAGTTTCAGTGCTATGATGTGGCCTGAAGCCAGACTGAAACTTTTCATAGATGTCATTTTCTTGCAAGAAAGAGCTGAGTTAAGCGGACACAACTTTTTCTAATATTTTTGACATAAATAGAAGATTTGAGATGGGTCTGTAATTTGCTAGGTTATTTGTATCTAATTGCGGTTTCTTAATAAGAGGTTTTATAACTGCCAGCTTGAATGTTCTTGGAACATGACTTAAAGATAAAGATGAGTTAATAATCTTGAGAAGAGGCTCTTCCACTATAGGTAACACTTCTTTCAATAGTTTAGTTGGTATAGGATCTAATAAACATATTAGCCGCTTTCCGACCGGAGGGACTTTTGCAGTTCCTAGAACCTAACGTTCCTATAACCCTTTTTTCTCGTGTTCCGACCGGACTAAATTGGGGATTTTTTTTTTGTTCCTCAGACCGTAGTTCCTATAACTCTTTCAGTACCTAGTCTAGAGCGAGGACTTTTATTTAGTTCCCTTTCCCTTGGTCTACGTTGATTGGTTGAACTTGTAAGTCATGCCCACTGTCAACAAGGAAATTGTAGTGCGCTGTCTGCCATACGCTGTGTGTTTTTGCAAAACATTACAACGAGGATTAAGACAAACATAGCGCATTCAACCAGCTAATTGCTAATGCTAGCTAAACTTACCCGTCGTTTTGTTTGCCTCCTGCGCTCTGCTCTTTTATCTTCTTCCATCATATTACTTAATATCATATTACGCTGGAGCCTTCGTCTTCTGTGTTTCTCTGTACAGAACTCAAGCATAATCTTTATACGCCGCCGTTAGTTCTCCGTTATTAAGGTCCCGGCACGTCTAGTGATGACGCTATAAAGCCTGTCGCCATGCTTGTGTTACCCCTCCTACCAGTTCCTATGGCCACTTGGCCAGTGCGAGTTAAGCAGCAAAACCGAGTTTGGGGGAGAGTAGTTCTTAGAACTGTTTAGAAGTGGACAGTTCCTATAACTAAGTTCCTGTAACTACTTGGTCGGAAAGCGGCTATTGTTGTTTTAGATGAAGTGATACGTTTATTTAACTCTTTTTGTTCTATGGTTGTAAAGCATTGTAATTGTTCTTGTGGGGTGATAATTGCGGCTGAATTATAAGGGGCAAGCAAAGATTGAGAGTTTACGGTTGTGATTCTGTTGCTTTCAATTTTCTCGGTGAAGAAGTTCATGAAATCATTACTACTAAACTGTAATGTGATATTTTGTTCAGGTGTCGTCTGTTTATTTGTTAGTCTAGCCAATGGTGTTATATAAACCTTGGATTATTTTGTTTGTTTTCTATTGTTTTCTATGCTGAGGTGCTCAGCCCTGGCTGTTTTAAGGGCCTTTTTATAACGTGACGGTGTCTTTCCACGTGATTCTAAATACCTTTAAATTTGTTTGTTTTTTCATTTATGCTCTAAATTACGGGTTTCTCTCTTTAAAACATACGTAGTATTATTGTACCATGGTGCTATACTTTTTTCTCTGACCTTTTTTCATATAATGGGTGCAACAATATCCAATGTTCTAGAGAGAATGGAGCTCATAGTGCCAGTTAGTTAGTCTAGTTCTTCTGTTTGTTTGGGTTCAGGCAGCAGCTGAGACAGATCAGATAGGCTATTTGAGAAATTATCTATGGTGGATGGAAGAATTGTTCTACCAGGTCAAGAACATGGCGCAGCATGACATATTACAGCAGTACGTAATATGCAAGTAACCATGTAATGGTCAGTGACATCACATTCAATAGTGTTCACAAATCTGCCTAAATCTGTTGTTAGTGAGCACTTCTCCTTTACCAAGATCATCCATCCCCCTCATAGGTGTGGCATATGATTAGTGTAGGATTGCCAATACCTGTGTTTTCAATTGAAGCACTGTTATACTACCTGTCACAATTGACCCTTTAAAGAATATATGTACAAAATATGATTGTTCTATCTGTTAATTGAGACGTTTTACATACTAATTTTTGTAGTAGTCTAAGGAAGACCTCTTCTTCTAGATGTGCCATCAGGAATTAAATTGATCTGTTCATCTGACTTTTCACACTAATCACATGACATTCAAAGCCAATGGGCTATATGCACGCATAAGTTCCGCATTTGACGCAAGGATGCTCGTCCATTTCCAGTTGTGGAGATTTAAGCGGCGGAGAACCGAGGAAAACAGGATTATGGCAGAGTCTTCAAAATTTACTGCCCTCCCATCTTTGAAACGAAACGTACATACGTTTAGATGTAATTTTATATATAGTTATGTTTATTTAATATAATTTTAAAATGAAGCATAAACACAACGAGGGGTGTCTGTTTTATCTGTTTTTGTGACTAACGTTTCTTTATTATAACCATGGAGTATAAAATTCAGTATAAATTCTCGGTATTGCATTGGACTCTACGATTGGCGGAAGTTATCGAGCATCCTTACACCTTCACCGGAAATACCGCCGTGCATAGAGCCCATTACAACAATTTTAGAGCTTCCAGAAATGAGAAAAAAGATGCGGTCACAATTGTAACTGTGATATGTATCTTGTGGATTGCTCTCTGAGTTTGCAATTATTTGTGCCATTAAACTGGGCTTAAACCTGTCTGTTTGCACCTTAGACCTGATGCCGCTGAAAGAGGAGCTTCACGAACTTGATGATGTAAAGGAAGAGAAACTTAAAGTAATAACTGTGGAAAACGTTTCTGACTGCTGGCTGACTGAAAAGACTCCCTCACAAGAAACCGCTGAAGAGACGGGGAGTAAACGTTATTTCATCTGCTTTCAGTGTGGAAAGACTTTCAGCCAACATGAAAACCTTGAAGCTCACATGAAGATTCACAGTGGAGAGAGCGCTTACCCCTGCCAAGAGTGTGGAAAAGGTTTCTCTGGAAAGGGAGGCCTTAAAGTCCACATGAGAAGTCACACTGGTGAGAAACCGTTCATCTGCCCTCAGTGTGGAAAGAGTTTTGCACATCATGCAACGCTTAATGACCACAAACGAATTCACACTGGAGAAATGCCTTTCACATGTGATCGGTGTGGAAAGAGTTACAGACGTAAAATAACCCTTAATGCCCACATGAGGACTCACTCGAGAGAAAACTGCTTTAAATGTCTTCAATGCGAAGAGAGTTTCACAGACAGCAATGACCTGAAGAGCCATGTAATGACTCACATTGGAGAGAAGCCTTTCATGTGCGATCACTGTGGAAGGACTTGCTCAAGCAAATCAAACCTTGATGTTCATGTGAGACTTCACACTGGAGAGAAGCCTTTCACCTGCCCTCAGTGTGGAAAAGGTTTCAATGAAAAAGGGACCCTTAAAATCCACCTAAGACTTCACACTGGAGAGAAACCTTTCATATGTTTTCAGTGTGACATGAGTTTCACATATCGAAGAGACCTGAAGCGTCATTTGCGAGGTCATCCTGGAAACAGCAGCGTTATGGTTGGTCTGCCGATGCCAGAACGTGTCCGAAACAAAACGCCCCTAATCTGAATCTTGACTCTGGAGGCTTCCTAAAGCTCAGCAAGTGTACACATTTTAAGAACTGTAACTATGTCGATTTAAATGCATGCTTGATGATGAAACGTTGGAAGAGCTAGTTACTCAACCCGATCGTTCATTGCAAAGGTTGACTCGAGCAGGACATCCTTCAGCGATAAGTTTTCACTCAGTTTGTCATCCATTACGATGTTGCGTCTTTAATTCCACTACATCAGCATTAACAAGTTTTTTTCTCCATCCAATTTAATTAGTTCAACTTAAAGTTTAACTTAGGATTTAACTACTCGTCCATGCATTCGAGCTCCAAGCCGCTCCACAGAATAATTTTCGATTTTCCCCTGTTTATTTGGCCTAAACATTTATTTGGCCTTAAAAAAAACTGAGGGTTTTTTTTTTCTTTGGTTTTCTTACCGAAACCTTTTGGAGAACTGAAATCCTTAAGTGCAAGGCCTTTTCAGATCTGCTCGGTTACACAGCTTTTCGGTTTTCTTACCGAAACCTTTTGGAGAACTGAAATCCTTAAGTGAAAGGCCTTTCCAGATCTACTCGGTTACACAGCGTATTACGTAAGGGTCGGTCTCGACCCTGTGTTTGGAGGATGGTTTCCATAATTGTTTGATCTCCTCCTCAGGTTTGCGGAAATTGTTCGTCCACCCCTCCTGGCCAATCAGCCGTGCCACTGTAACCTGAAAGACAATAAGACTTTGCTCATGCAAAAGTTAATGGGTTAATGGGTAACAATGATGGATTTGGAGACTTAGAGTGAAAATATTATTTTCTTCGGGCATACTGGGAGAGGCGCCACTTTTTGTAGTAATAGCGGTCTCCCAGTAACCCATAATCAATGCGTTGCCTCTTTGATGGTGGCTAGCCCTCCAGTGAAACTGGAAACATATCTAAAGACTGGGAGAAAGACTGCCGCATGCTGGTTTCAGCAACGGCTGTACCCTTGTCCGAACAAGTCCTGTATAATTGGGGAATACAAAGTTTATATTAATATACAATAACTGTGGACAATTTGTTAATCTGCTGTACAAATTGTTTGTGATATGTCCTTGAAAAATGAAAAGACATGCAGGGCAAGGAGTACAAGAGCTTGGCTGCATCAATCAAGTACTCCTTACACACCGTACCGGCACTATGGGCCAAGTACAGATTAATGGACTCCAGTTGGTGTGCTGTAAAATGTTTGACAACCAACCCAACAGCCCTCCACACATCCTGGCTGGTTAACATGTCCAGTGTATACCTGTAGAAATAAAATATTAAGGAAATGTTAATCGTGAAATGACTGTGACTGACAAGATGTGCGTATAAATTCACACAGTGCGCATTGATCCGTGTAGTATGTACATTGAATGAAAAACCTTCACCTTAACTATTGTCTGACATTTTTAAATGCCAGAAGCAGACCTAATAGACCTAGCCAGGAAAAACCCAGACAACTTACAGCAAATTTTGATTTGCTCTGCAAGTTAGTCTGGCAAAGAGCTCATTCATGGCCATTTCTAATCCAATGAAATCGCAGTACAAATCAGAAACGTTGGGACAGGCTTACACGATGACGACAGCACAGCGACGGTGAAGCAGATTTTGTACATTTACAAAGATGGATGCCGCTGTAGAACTAGGGGTGTGACCGTTTGAGTTGAACACAGTCATTCTATAACCGCTAAAACCATGTTATAAAATTATTTTTTTCACAATTATTTTTTATCATAGAGACTGTTTAAATACTAATATCAGCTTACGATGGAAACAGGATAGAGTTATGATGAGTACATGGTGGCCATAAAGGGATGGACATGGTCAAAAACGATGTTTAGATAGGCTGTCTCATTTAAACGATGCCCAATTGGCACTAAGGGGCCTAAAGTGTGCCAAGAAAACATCTCCCACATCATTACACCACCACCACCAGCCTGCACAGTGGTAACAAGACATGATGGATCCATGTTCTCATTCTGTTTACGCCAAATTCTGCGAAATCAGTTTCAAGTAAACTGTGCTGTGGATATTCTGTAACATAGCAACGAAATGTCTCAATGGAAAAAAGCTGCACTGCCAAAACGCTCTCAATCGCCCAAAGCACGGCATCTTCAGTAGAGTGTCTGATGTTTTCAGCTGGCTAAAAACGCTTTGGTGGCCTTACTGCAGCACAACAGGACAAGTTACCTCAATAGCCATTTAAGTTGTCTGCATAATGCACACCAAACTGGTTATATGCTAAGCACTTCAGTATTTAAGACTAAAAACCAAGTTAGTTTTAATGCATATGATACTAAAAAGACATGTTTAATAAAGCTTCAAAGAAAATGTTTTGGCTGCAGACCATTTAAAGAAAAACGATAGTAATGCTTGGAAAAGAGAACTTTATTTGTAACAAGTTTAACACAATACAACTAGCTGTTTACACCAGTTTAATCAAAGTAAAACAAATCCATACATGGTTTGTAAAATAAGTTAAATGCACACACACACACTCACACAAAGTTTCATGAATGCAGAAGTAAAACAGATACTTGCATTTAAAACATACGATTGAAATTGGCTCCTGGTACGAAATGGTTTTTAAATGGAAAATGGGGTTTAATTTAACTGGAGTGGCTGGGATAATATCTTCATCAAGAGGGTAAGGAGGTGAGAGTGGGGTGGTTTTGGTTGGGGAGTCATTTTCAGAAGGAAAGTCCTCTTTCAGAAGGCACTCAAGTTCTTCTAGGTCAGAACTTCGAGTAGGTGTGGGTGGTGAGAAGGTGATCTTTAGGATGGCTGTTTGATCTGTGGATGGAAAGGCTGGTGGATGGGTGAGCTGGGTGACATTTATGGTGAAGTGTAAGGGTCATTGTTGGCAGGTTCAACAGAGAATCAGTGATCGTGTTTGGTGTGGGGAATCTGCACTGCTGACTGAATTACTTGGTTTTCAATGACTGTTTTGATGTTGTTGCATGTGGTCCTGAATGTTAATTTGGCAGATGTGTGCACAGAAATGACAGTTTATTTGTAATACATGCCACATCTGTGACATCACTCTGTTGCATGAAAGGGGCATATATGGGAGACGGTGTTTTATTGTTCAAAGGTGAATAATTTTCACTTTTGCGCCAATTATTTCTACCGTAATGCTTTCTGATGCGGTTTCTTCTACAGTACATGTGGTGTCAGTGCAGATGGCTATAGAAACGTGTGTGTCCTTTGTGGTGGAGAGAATTCTTTTACCCTGGAATGTTCTAAATGAAACACTTACACAAATGAAATCATACCAGGAGACAATTTCAATCGTATGTTGCAGGCCCCACATGGTAAGTTCGATCACTCCAGTTTTATCTGCAATGACATATGTTCTCTTTTCAAGGAATGTGTCATTTTGGAGGACATTGTGTCCTTCCCTTTTTAATTCGATTGCTTTGGCTTTGATGTTCACCTGAAAACAATAAAGAAAAATAATGTTTAGTAAAAGTATCTTGTTGCAAAATTGTGAAATGCACTATAGACTCAATTAAATTGGCACAGATAAAGTAAAAATAGGAGTGCTGGACATACATTGTAAATAAGTTCCTTGCAATGAATTTTACATGGATAAATGTTACAAGGCAATAAATAAAATAACCTAAAGTTTGGATAGTACTTACATTCTGATACTCCAATTCCATTTCCAGAACCTGTGACACAGTCCCCTTCTGTTGGGAGGTGAAGATGGTGGGGTTATAGGAATAATCAACTGAAAGCAAACAAGAGATTTTTGTTTTATATACATACAAAATGGCTTTTTCGCCATATGTGTGCCTTGCTGGCTGCAAGACCACGTCAATAAGCTGTACAGGACATCTGAAATATGGGAGTTATAGAAGATTGAATGAGACAATTCTTGTTTTTGATTATGGTTCAAAAGTTAAAATGTTGAATAAATGATTTACTGATAAAGAAAGCACTTTACCCATCTTTTTCCACAGTCTGAAAATGATTGTGGAGGTCAGACTTGAATACCATAAGCTTTGAGATTTTGTGTCGCTCCTGCAGTATTCCTTCAAAGTAAGGTCGCTTCATCCCTTGATGTAATGGAGTGATGCTCTGGATGTAGCCAGTCTTGCATTGATTGAGGGCTGTCTTTGAACTTGCCATTTCTACATAAAAATAAATAAATAAATAAGTTGATATAAATACACTGCCAGTCTAATTCAATGACCAGTAATTCATTAAAACTGATTTATATTTTAAACAGTTATGCACCAACAAAAATAACATATTTGAATAACAAATAATTAAATAAAAATACCACATTCACATCAATGGAAATCACGGTTGATTAGAACTGAATCCCCAGTGCATCGACAACTGAGCCAGTTCAATTAGCATATTTATAACAGGACATATTTGTCCTAAGACAAACTATATTTATTTCATTTCAAATTATATTTAAACAGTTATCTTAATAATACACCTGATTTATGCATATTATGTCATTTTGAAAAGATAGTTATATTATGTGCTACTCTTCACCTGAACACAATGAATGAAATTTCATTATTTTCCTATGTAGCGTTCATAGGGCTGCCATAGACTTCCATTTACGTAGTAATAATAATAAGAAAACTAACAGATACAATAGGGGCCTTCAGGGCTTGGCCCCTACTAAACAAATACAAAATAAAAGAATAAGCCTGCAGCTCCTCACGGAAAACATACAAAATAGAACATAAAATCACAATGTAAAATCAGGCCTATTCCTCCACAGTTGTCTCTCCTCTTTTATGCCTCCGCTCGTCCGTGAGAGATGCAAGACTGGTGCGTCTCACAGGTGTCATTCATTATTCACTCACACCACCGGCCTCCCGCAGCTCTCATGTCCCTGTCCCTTGGCCTCGTCCTGCTCGCCACATTATTATTTCAGCAACATGACAAGCCAGTGAATTAGCTGGTTTCAATTGTTGCTTTGCACAGTTATATTTTAAGGCACAGCGGGGTAATCACATTTCTTTCAATGCAATCTTTGTCCCATTTTTTTAATTATTTAATTTAGCCTTTTAATTCCCTAAAATTAATTACAAAGGTATGCATAACATTTGTTGAACTACTTTTATTAATATCAGAAAAACACAGAGGTAACAGGGTGGACAGAGGGGGTAATAGGGTGGACATCACACCCCTGAACAACAATAACTGTCAACTCATTTACCCTGGTACCCTGAAGAAAAAGGACATAGGTCGATATCAACAAATGTTAAAAACTGTTCAGATATCTTAAAATTCACACTTAAACAAATTTTCACAGTAACATCAACCGTAAACTACTGAACAAACCAGCGTCCCAGGTGTTTTTTTTTATGAAGTTCGACACTGTCTTCTCTAGCTGGACATACCTCTTGTTTAAAGGTTGTGATTCTTTCATCAGGCACACAATCTGCTCATCCCTGTACCAGTTAATGTCTTCACGTGGACTCGGCCAGAAGAACTTGTTGGTCCCATTCTTGCACATGCATTTCTCCTTCACATCTTCAACCTCCTGGATGATTTCTTGATGGGGTTCACAATCGTAGTTGACAATGCACCACTTCCCAATGTTTTCTTTCATGATGACCTCAGGGTGTGATGGTTCTTCAATGCAGTGTGGGCTTTCTTCTGAAAACTGTCTGGACTTGGTGGAGGAGTGGTCATTGGTCATTATCCTCGCTCTGGTACACGCTCTACTGTTTGAGATACAGGAAAGCATAGCTCACTCTCTGTTGAGTTTTAACACTTTGCATTTTCTTCCTTCCTCTGTCCTTTCTCCAAAAATTTTTTTAAACCTGTCGACGACTGAAGTGACAGCATCGAAGAACAGGCGAGAAGGTGATAGTGGAGCGTTCAACATAAAATATTTGTCTTTCCCTTTTTTATACCAGACGAATTTAGCCATAGATGTCTCTCCAAAGCCACCATAGCTGCTACAATAAGCTATGGTACGTTTAGTGCCATGGTACGCCTGCAAAATCGTCATAGAGTGCAGGAACGCACCAACCTGACCAACCGCCATATAAGCCCAGCCAACCAGTGCAGAGGTGTCCCTGCACGATTGTTGGGCAGCGCCAGGACTTTAAAGGGTACATATCATGCTTTTAAATCATTCATTTTAACATATAAATCATACCGTTGTGGTCTATATAAAACAATGCTTGGGTCTGAATTCCTCATTATTATAGATCCACAAGCCCCTTATCTGATGTGCGTCTTTGAGCGACCCGTTTCAAAGTGGCCCCTTTAAATAAAAAGGAGATGCGTCATACCCCGCCCGCTCTCCAGGTCGATGAGTTCACGGTCGGTTCAACTCCCCCGTTCGGCCATTATTGTAGTTTGATTAGAGATATACGATTATATACGATGCCTTCAAAGAACATTTTTATTCACACGTTAATAGAATGTCAACAACAGAAGACTTGTCCATCAAGCCTTACATATTCGAGCCAGAGCGAGCGAGTTGATAAAGACCATGACGAACCTGCAGAACAACCTCTTCATATGGATGTATTGGTATGTAAGTTAACTGTTTTGTGTTATTAGTGAAAGTCGACTATTTCTCTTGTTAAAAGAAGCACACTGACAAGATAAATGACTACGGTCTAATCTTACCGCAAAAAAATCTGTATTGATAATATGATACTTTTAGAAAAGCATCAGAAAAGCAGCTAAATGACCATTGATGAAACTCAAGAACAATAACACTGCAGAT